ATTATTTTTACTCATCAGCTGCTATTCTCTGGTTTTCAGCTATGCAAAGTTTCAAATTTACAAAGCTTCCTGAGTTACAGTTAGAGCTGATTTTTCCTCTGGAATTGGTCTGTTCAAGTTGGAGGGAGTGTGCCTCTTTATATTGGCACATGCTGTCCTTTCTGGAAGTACTCTTTCACCCTTTCTGCTCTTAAAACTTTTTTCTCCAGTTCAGACAACCCATGTTATCAATGACATACTTGGATTTCCAGGAGATCTGTGATTTACCCAAGGATATTACACATTTATTAGTTGTGGAGCTTTTTAGGGGCCTATGAGATTGAGTCTTCTCAACTTAGTGTATGCTGGTTCTAGTTCCCTGCTTTTTGGGCCTCACCATTTGGCCAAGGTCCTTTTTATGTTGGTATAAGGAAGGGAAACATCTGACACTTCCTGATAACCTTTTTAGTTTTTAAAAGGGGTTGATGGTGAGGTCCAATTGTATCTGGAGGAAGGGTGAGCAGCTGTCTACAAGACATGACTAGATCATTTTCTTGTGGTCCAAGGTGTGGCCTGCAGCATGGGAAAAGCCCTGAGGTTGATCTGATTCAGAATGGCTAACTCACTCTGAGGAACTCAGAGTACATTTTAGCTATTTAATCTTACAAACTTTTGATTGTCTTTTGTGTACCAAACTGGTTCTGGCTTCTGCCTTCTGGATGTTTGAAGGTGCCTGAGACAAGGTGTTGACCCTCAGGGAGCACAGTGTAGTAGGAGTGACCAGTAGGTAACAGACACCGTAATGTCTGTAGTGTCTTATGAGCTGTGCTGGAGAGAGGCTTCCTGCAAAGGGAAGCTGTGGGGATGTCAGAGGGATGCAGCATTGACCTGGGGGTAGGAATGGAGCCCGAGAGGAGAGAACTTGACCGAGTCTTGGTGAAGGTAAATGTTAGCTAGGCAGAGGAAGAAAGGCTGAGCATTTGAAAAAGCACTTGCAGAGGTAAAAGAGATCATTTTGGTTTCAAGGAGCTGTAACTCTTCTGCACGGCCAAATTTTGATGTATGGTGAGGAAGAAAAGCCAGAGCTTCATTATTTGCAGAGCACATACTACGTGCCAGGCCTATTCTAGCCAATGGAGATTCAACAATAAAGAAAATAAGAATATTCCTGCTGTCCTGGAGTTTACATTCTGCTGTGAAGTACAGATTGTAGACAAATAAAAATATACTATGTCAGGTAGTAAGGGCTATGAAAAAGAAAAAAAAAAAAAAAACCAACAGTGACGTTGCAGGATGGGGATGGTATTTTATGTCGGGTAGTGAGGGAAAGTTGCTCTGATGAGCTGACATTTGAACAAAGAGCTGAAGCTAGTGCATTGGGGGGCCAGAGGCATATGTGCTGGAAAAGGCTTCCAAGTCAAGGGAACAGTCAGAGCAGAAGCTCCAAGGCAGCAGCATGTGTAGCATAGTGTCCTCGAGGAATCATGAGGAGGGCAGGGCGAGGGCAGGGGAGAGCTGTAGGTAGGAGATGAGGTTTCAGATGAATTCAGGGAGCTAGCGGGGGCCAGGTTATGTAGGTCCATATAGGCCACTGTAAAGACTTTGGCTTTTACTTAGAGTGAATTGGAGTGCCATTTGAGACTTTTAGCAAAGGAGTGACTTGATCTGACAGGTTTTAACAAGTTCACTCTGGTTGTCATATGGAAAATAGACTTGGGGAGGAGGCAGACTAGAAAAGGAGAGCTGAATTAGGAAGTTGTAGCAGTAGTCCAGGCAAGAGATGGTGGTGGCGAGGCCTAGACTGAGTATGATAGGAATAGGGAGAAATGGGAAGAAATGAAGTGCTTATAAGCTTGATCAAATTTGTGTTTCAGAGAAGTGACTCTGATAGTGCCCAGGAGAAGAAGGGGTTGGTGGGAAGAAGAATTGAAGAACAGGCCAGTCATTGCCCTGTCAAGGCAAGGAATGATGGGTGGCTTGGAGTTGATGTTTGTTTTCTGGTTAGCACATTCTCTACCATTAGCACAGATAGTTTGGGAAAGCAAAATGAAATCAGGAGGCCACGTGTTCAATATGGGGAACCAGTTAAGCAAAGTAATCGAGGTTGGCTGATGATACCTGTTACTAAACCAAAGACATGGTATGTTTAGAGGACAGAGTAGGCAATGGGGAGAAGGTTTATTTCTTACCGCCTAACTTAAAATGTCTGCCTTGGTCCAGCCTTTTTCCTTGCTGGCCACGCCTCTCCCAGGTCCAGGTTTCCTTCTGTAGCTTTGCAGTCCCTGGATTGGATTCCCACATTTTCTTCTCTCATCCCAGTGGTCCTTCCCTCTTAGGACCCAGTGCAGAGCCTGCCTTGAAGGTTTCCCTCCCTTTCCAGTCTTCCCTGCTCTGAGCTCCTGCAGCACGTCACCTTACTATGTGTGTTGCATATTGTGCTCTGATAAATAACACTTTTAAAAATAAAATGAAACCTCTGCAAGGACTGCAGTGTTTTCTTTTGCCTTTTTAGTATGCTACAGTGTATGCCAGGTACCTTGTAAATATCTGGTCAGTTAAATCCCTCACTGGGGTCAGAAAAATGGCCCCTGTTTCAACCCCACCCTGTTCCCACAGGGACACGGCTGCAGTGTTGAGCAGGAATATGGTGCGGAGGAGCCACTGCTTTGTGTGGATGTGGTTGTGCACCGCGCTCAGTAGAAGGGGCCACTCCTGTCTTCTCTAAAATTCTAATTGCATCCATCGTCTTAAGGCTCAACGTGGTCGGGAAACACATGTTTAGCATGGGTCAGACACTGGGCAATAGTGTTACAGAGTTTAAAAAAAACAAAAGTATAGTCCCTGCCCTCATAATGCTTACCATCTAACTAGGAAAACAAGCACTAAATAGATTGTTAGGTTTATTTGAATAATTGTGGGTATGCAAAGTGGCTTAAAGCACATAGTTGGGGGATTGGGCCTCCAATGGGGATCAGAAGATTTCGCTGAAGATCTGCTAACCAGCACCTGAAATATGAAGTGGAAATAGCTAAGGGAAAGACTGGAGGAGGGAATGACACCCTTGAGGAAGTTGGAAGAGTTCAATTTGGCTGTAGCTTAGCAAATTGGGGAGAAAGACATAGAATAAGGCTGAAACCTTTGTGAAACCTTCCCTCATTGCTCCAGCTAACTCAGCTCTGCTTTCTCTTTTTGCACTAATCATTTATCATACTTAATTACATACTTTCTGAGATAGAAGTCTAACCAGGACCAAAAGAGATATTTCAAGGAGAGTGTGGTCACAGGTGTCTTGTGGCTTAGTAAGGCCAAGTGAGGCAAGACAAAGATCTGCCACAAGCATCAGAACTGACAATTGGGAGGTATGGGGGACTTCAGCCAGCCAAGTTCACATGGAGTCATGGAGGAAGAAATGACTGGAGTGGGGTAAAAAGCCTGGAAAGATCTTTCCCTAGCATTCAAATTCTAGCTAGCTAGCCTAGAGAAATCCTAGCATATTTGTACAAAGAATACTTATCGAAGTAATGTTTGTAATAGCAAAATATGAGAAATAATCCAAATATCTGTTAACAAGGACTGGTCCATTTATTCATTCACAATGTATTTTTTAAGCATCCAGTGTGTGCTGGGCATTGTTCTAGGTACTGGGCATACAAATGTGGTCAAGGTAGATAAGGTCTGTCTTCTCACAGAGCTTACAGTGGGAGACAGACAAGTTAACAAGTAACCTAGTCTCAGATAATTGTTAGATGAACAAGTGCCCTTTTTATCCAAATCCGTTTAGTTCCTGAGTGCAGGTGGCAAGAATTTGGGCAGTGAGAGATACCTGGGCTAGGAGGAAAATAAACATGGTAATGTGATGGAGGGTAGATTAGAAGGAGGGTAAATTAGAAAGACAACCTTTCTGCGGAGGCTATTCTTGAGATGACACCTAAATAACTAGTAGCTACTTGTCACCATGTGGAAATCTAGTGAAGGAGGGAATAACAAACATAAAGGCCCATGGTGGGAACAAGCTTAATATAGTCAAAGAACAGCAAGATCAGCATGGCTACAGCCTAGTGAGTAATGGCAGAGATTGAATTTTATTTTTAGTACAGTGGAATGCTGTTAGTTTTAGGCAGTGGGTACCTTATGGTAACAACTGTACTGTGGAGTACTATGAAGCAATTCAAAGCAGTAAAGTGAAATTATATATACACCACTATGGAAAGGTCTCCAAGATACATAGTTACGTGTAAAAAGCAAGTTGTAGAATAATGTGTATGGTATTTTATAAAACAAGACTGTATGGGTGTGTGTGTGTAAAACATGGACAAGGGACTAGAAGTTTATACACAACTGTTAAGAGTGGTTATTTCTGGGGAGTAAAGTGGAATTGGTTATGGGGGTGAAGGAGGGCTGTCACTTGTTACTCCCCACTGTATTTGGATTTTGTAACAAAGGAAGTGAATGGGCAACAAGTAATTGATGATTATATAAAAAGGCTTCACTTTGAAGGAAAACAAAAAGATAGCTAAGTGGGGAAACAGATTTGCAGGACAAATTGACCCTCATGACTTTCCTGCCTGATGTACTAGATCCTCTACAAAATTATGTACACAGTTACTACAGACGTTCCTCGACTTATGATGGGGTTTCTTCCCAACAAACCCATTGTTAGTTGAAAATGCACTTAAGACACCTAACCTACCAAATATTAAAGCTTAGTCCCGCCTACCTTAAATGTACTCAAAACACGTTAGCCTACAGTTGGGCAAAATCATCCAACACAAAGCCTCTTTTATGATAAAGTATTGACTATCTCATGTAATTTATTGAACACTGAACACGTATTGCTTTTGCATCATCATAAAGTGGAAAAGTCATAAGTTGGGGATCATCTGTATACATAACCCAACATTGCTCTCTAAGGATAGCAAACGTGATCACCCCTTCCGATAGATCCTACAGCGTGTTCCCAGTATTGCTGTAGGAACATTTGTGGAATTGATCTCTAGTTGAGCAGGAATATGATCCTACAGGAATCAGTGACATTCAAAGATGTGTCTGTGGACTTCACCCAGGAAGAATGGCACCATGTGGACCCTGCTCAGAGGTGCTTATACAGGGATGTGATGCTGGAGAACTATAGCCACCTGGTTTCTCTTGGTAAGAACCACTTCTTTCAGTGTCTTGCCTCTTGATTGGTCTTTCCTCCCTCAGTTGCAAAGGTTGATGGTGCTTGTAGCTTACGTAACTGTGAGCAGTCAGGGGTCAGAGCTGGTTAATCTCTTTGGGACTCAGGTTTATGCGGTTTGGAGCCTGCTGATTAGGTAAAAGGTCATTATTTTACAGAATTGTAAATAGGCAATTTGTGATTGCATGACTCCTTAAGTTGCACCTTTTTTTTCCTTCAGAGTTCCTGAGGATCAAGGACTAGTACTGACTTGTCCTTAGGAGGGTTCTTTGTCCACTTGCACAAACAACCAAATCTTGTGTATTTACCCATGAGCAGGATATCAAGTTTCCAAGCCAGAGGTGATCTTCAAATTGGAGCAAGGAGAAGAGCCATGGATATCAGAGGGAGAAATCCAAAGACCTTTCTGTCCAGGTAAACAAGTGAAAAATCAGGCAGGTAGAAATCAATGCAGATAATGTCACAGCTTAGGGAGGGAAAGCACCTTCCAGCACCTTCAAGTGGCTGGCGTGGGAACTCCTAGACCTGCAAAGGAAACTGAAGCCATCTCCTGGGTGACACCTCTGTATGTCTCTTCTTTTTTTTTTTTTTTTTTTTTTTTTTTTTTCCTGTCCGGCAACGGATCGCAACCCTCAGTATCGCCCCTGTACCAGACCGGGACCAGCAACGGGATTGCAACCCTCGGTGTTGCTCCCGCGCCTCGCTCAGCACGTGAGCAGGAACCGGTCTGTATGTGGGATCCGAACCCTCGGTGGGAGTGCCGCCGCACTTCCCAAGCGGCGCACTATAGCAGTGCGCCACCGGGCCGGCCCTCTGTATGTCTCTTCTTCAAAAGGGTGCTCCTGCTGTTAGTAGGTCTTAGAGGAAGAGGTACCCCTTTTTCCTTTCTAAAAGTAGCCTTTTGCCCCACACTCAGAATACCATGTCTCCTCCTGTCTTTCTTTCACTGTCAGATGCCCTAGACTTGTAGGAGATACCCACAGCCTTGATTCTCCTCCCTTTAAAACCTGCCTTCCGATTCCCTTCCCTGACCACACTCCTAAAACACCTGTCTGGGGAGCAAAGTCATCTTCCATCCCATGTCTATGCTGACTTGATTCATTTCCCCCCACCATGGTTCCTGTAGTATGGAACGATGGTCTTGGCTTTTCTCGCTTTCCCCCCTAAGTTCATCTGTCTTAAGGAATCTGCCCTTCAGCCTCCCCTCTTTCTCTTCCTATTACCTCCATATAAAAGGGTGCCTGCCTTCTAGTGGTTATAGCTCTTTTTTTTTTTTCCTTTTTGTCTTTTTTCGTGACCCATAACGGGATCGCAACCCTCGGTGTCACGCCCGCACTGCGCTCAACCAGTGAGCGGACCGGTCTCTATATGGGATCCGAACCCTCAGCAGGAGCGCCGCTGCGCTCCCAAGCACCAGCACTCTACCAAGTGCGCCACCGGGCTGGCCCAGTAGCTCTTTATTCTATGTTGTAGACAGAGAAATCCACCTTACTGGTACCCTGGTCAGTTTTTTTCTTCTCACAGGACCTCTCCACTTGGAAGTCTCACACAGCTTATACTGAATATGTAAAATCTTAATTCACCACCTTTCATCCCTAGCCAGCACATTTTGATTACTTGTTGCCTGTTAGAAACCACTGGATTTCTAATCTGTCAGGCCAGACACCATAATCAGTTTAGTCTTTTTTCTTTCAACCCAGGTTATTTTTCTCCTTTGAGAAGTATCAGATTTTCCTGCCTTTTAACTTCTACTAGTGACATACTAAACTAGGCCCTGGCTTAGATAGTTATAATTCCTGATTGAAATTGCTCACTCTGTGTTTTCTTTTTATAATCCATATTGGGTTTTTAAAATTACAGCGTTATTGAGATATAATTCACATACCATAAGATTCACCCTTTTAAAGTGTACAGGTGAGTGGTTTTTCATATATTTACAGAGTTGTGCAACTGTCTAACTTCAGAACATTTTCGTCACCCCGAGAAGAAATCCCATACTTGCTAGCACTCACTCCCCATTCCTCACTCCTTCCAGCCTGGCAACCATTTTTCTGCTTTCTCTGTGGATTTGCCTATTCTGAACATTTTGTATAATGGAGTCATATAATATGTGTCTGGCTTCTTTCACTTAGCATAGTGTTTTCAAGATTCATGTTGTAGCATCATGTATTAATACTTCATTCCTTTTTATTGCTTAGTCATATTCCATTGTATAGATATGCCACATTTGTTTAACCATTTATCAGTTGATGAACTATATGCATTTTAATGCTTTATGTTTATAAATTACCCACATCTGATAAAACTTTGTTATTACTCCCTATACCTCATTATTGGAAATAGAAACTCCCTTGATTTAAAGGTCCGCTATTATATCTTCCAGTATTAGCTTTCCATTTCTGCTAAAACAAGCTCCCCTTAAGTTGAACTTCTTTTACTATTCCCTTTAAGTAGCATATACTTTCCTTCATTAGGTAATATGTTCTGCCTGTCCAGAGCTATCTATTCTTTAAGTTCAAGCTCTATCTAAACCATGACACTTAATATATACTAATATATTGATATCTTCATTCCCTGATCACAAATACCATTTCTATCATCTCCACTATATAAACTCAGATTTAATAAAATACCATCCAATGGTTTTGCTTTTTTGCTTTTTTTTTTTTTTTTTTTAGTTAAAAGATTGAGTCTTGTTTCTATTAGATTTTAAGCTCCTGGAGGAAAAGAGTATTTGTTATATATCTAAATATTCTATCTGTGTTGCAGAACATATAGAAGGGAGTCAGAAATTACTTGATTGATTGTTATGGAATCTGGTTGGGGAGAGAACATTCTCATTTATTTCAACAACCATTTCTTGAAAGTCCCACTGAGAAGGAGTCTAAAAAAAAAAAAGAAAAGAAAAAGAAAAAGAAACAAAGCATTCTCTGCCCTCAGGAATCTAGAATTGATTCTTGTTGCAGGGTAAGAAATTTGGGATTTAGGGCCCCTTAGTTGTTTTTGTCACCTCCCAACATTTCATTATGAAAAATTTTTAAATACGAGGAAAAGTTGAAAAAAATTATGTAGTGAACACTACCTACCAACCACCAAGATTACCATATTTGTTGTTAACATTTTATTATATTTGCTTTATCACATATCCTTCATTCATCATTCCATCCATCCATCTATCTCTCTATCTCTCCGTCTATCTATCAATCCATCCATCTATACATCCATCTTATTTTTTGATACATTTCCAAGTAAGTTGCAAGCTTGAGTACACTTCACCCCTTCACATTTCAGCATGCATATAATTTAACTAGAGTTCAACATTTGTTTACAGTTCTTTTTATTTTTAAGAAAACATTATATAGAATGAATGTACAACTCTTATATGTACCATCCAGTTGGTTTTGACAAATGCATTCACCCATTTAACCCAAATTCCTATCAATGTGGGATATTTTCATCATTCCAGAAAACTCCCTGTTGTTAGTTTTTAAAGGTTACCATTCTTAAAACCTAGAAATAAATTAATTTGTTGGTATTGATATTCTGAGGTAAAAACAAGGACTTAGAGATTAATTTATTAGACAGGTTGAAATAAATTCTTTTTGGTCAAGAGAAGTGATTAGTGGAACCAGAGCTCAAATAAGCTAAAACCACACCCCCCGTTGTAAGGGCAAAGATGATTTGCTTCCTGAAATACCACTTTTTCTCAGTTTATAAAGTATAGCCCTTGATCTCTAAGCCTTTCTAAAAATCATACCTGTTAGATCACTGGCTGCAGATTTTCTCTGTAGCATTTAGAGACCTGGAGCCTCAGAGATGACTTTAAAGAAATTATGAAATGGATGTATTAGAAAGATAGATTTTGTGGTGGTTTTTAAAATGGTCAAGAGGTATGGAGAACAGATAGGATCCTGCAAGATAGACTGTGACCCTATTCCATTTGTATCCATGCCTAACACTCTCATGCTCACTTACTCCCTAAAAAAAAAAAAAAAAGACTGGTAAGGGGATCTCAGCCCTTGGCTTGGTGTTGTCAGCACCACGCTCAGCCCATGAGCCAACCGGCCATCCCTATATAGGATCCGAACCCGTGGCCTTGGTGTTATCAGCACCGCACTCTCCCGAGTGAGCCATGGGCCAGCCCCACTTACTCCCTTTTCCCCTAACCAGACCTCCTAGATGGGCTTTCCTCATTCTCTGGACTTTCACATACTCTGGATCTGCAATCTTCACCATCCCCTCTCTTCGCTCTTCCTTTCTTCCATTTTGGATCTCCCCAGGCTACAGGACTAATTTCAAAACAGAGTTATGTATAATTTATATCTCTTTCATTTCCTCATTCCTTCTGTAGCAGTTTGCTTCAACAGGAAGGAATAGGGGACTTTTGCACTTTGGATTTTTTTCAGACTGGAAGACCAGGCTTGAAGCCAAATCATCAATTCTGCAGCGGGGCATATCTGAAGTATCTCATAGCACAGATGATCTCTTACATGCCACATTAGAAGACTCCTGGGATGTTAGCAGCCAGTTAGAGAGACACCAGGAAAACTGGAAGAGACATCTGGATCCAGAGGCATCCACCCAGAAGAAAATAATCACACCAGAAGAAAGTTTTGAGCAAAATAAATTTGGTGAAAACTCTAGATTGAACACAGACCTGGTTACACAGTTGAGCATTCCTTCAAGAATAAGGCCTAGTGAATGTGAGACATTTGGAAGCAATTTGGTACGTAATTCAGACTTACTTAATCAGAACAATATCCTTGCAAAAAAGAAACCCTATAAGTGTAATAAATGTAGAAAAGCTTTTATCCATAGATCATCACTTACTAAACATGAGAAAACTCATAAAGGTGAAGGAGCATTCACCAATGGTACAGATCAGGGAATTTATCCTGGAAAGAAACACCATGAATGTACTGACTGTGGGAAAACCTTCCTCTGGAAGACACAGCTTACTGAGCATCAGAGAATTCACACTGGGGAAAAGCCCTTTGAATGCAATGTGTGTGGAAAGGCCTTCAGGCATAGCTCATCCCTTGGTCAGCATGAGAATGCTCATACTGGAGAGAAACCCTATCAGTGCAGTCTCTGTGGGAAAGCCTTCCAGCGCAGCTCCTCCCTTGTTCAACACCAGAGAATTCACACTGGAGAGAAACCATATCGATGTAATCTGTGTGGGAGGTCCTTTAGGCATGGCACATCCCTCACTCAACATGAGGTCACACATAGTGGAGAGAAACCCTTCCAATGTAAGGAATGTGGGAAAGCTTTTAGTCGATGTTCTTCCCTTGTCCAACATGAGAGGACTCATACTGGAGAGAAACCTTTTGAATGTAGCATATGTGGGAGGGCTTTTGGTCAGAGCCCATCCCTTTATAAACACATGAGGATTCATAAGAGAGGCAAACCTTACCAAAGCAGTAACTACAGCATAGATTTCAAGCACAGCTCATCGCTTACTCAAGATGAAAACACTCTCAGAGAAGTGAAGTCCTATCACTGTAATGACTGTGGGGAAGACTTCAGTCACATTACAGACTTTACTGATCATCAGAGGATCCATACTGGAGAGAACCTCTATGATTGTGAGCAGGCCTTTAGTCAACAACCTATTTCCCATCCTGGAGACAAACCCTATCAATGTAATGTATGTGGAAAAGCTTTCAAAAGAAGTACAAGTTTCATAGAGCATCACAGAATTCATACTGGAGAAAAACCTTATGAATGTAATGAATGTGGAGAAGCCTTCAGTCGACGCTCATCACTTACTCAACATGAGAGAACCCACACTGGAGAAAAACCCTATGAATGTATTGACTGTGGGAAAGCCTTCAGTCAAAGTTCATCCCTTATTCAGCATGAAAGAACTCATACTGGAGAGAAACCATATGAATGTAATGAATGTGGACGAGCCTTCCGAAAGAAAACCAACCTGCATGATCATCAGAGAATTCATACTGGAGAAAAACCCTATTCTTGTAAGGAATGTGGGAAAAATTTCAGTCGAAGCTCAGCTCTTACTAAACACCTCAGAATTCATACACGAAATAAACTCTAGGAACACTTATGCTTTAGCTAAAATGTTGTTCTGATTCAGTATCAGTGGATTCTTACCAGAGAGAAAGCTTGAGAGTGTAAAGAAGTGTTTGTGTGTGTGTGCACGTGTGTAGAGAACTGTGCCAGTAGACAGAATTTTTTTAAAATAAATAAAAGCCACATTCTCAGAGAGAGTGTGTGTGTGTGTGTGTGTGTGTGAGTAGAAAACTCTGTGCCAGTAAACGGAATTTTTTTTTAATAAATAAAAGCTACATTCTCAGATCTGATTACAGACTTTTGTAAAAATTAAAACTACAAACATCCAAACGTGTAGCCAATTGGAAATGATAAATCTATATATCGGTCTTTATAAAGCTTCTGAGTATGTGTATGGAGGAGATCACCAAATTTTAACAGCTTGGCTTGTACCCTCATGGTTTACAGCCTTTTTAAAAAAATAAAACTCCTGCAGTAATAACCTAAACTCATTTTTAAAGTTGCTTGACAATTGCACTCAACTGAAGCTCCTACATTAAATTCACCATGGAAACCAGTTCCACCTCCAGGAATTCACTATTCAATGAATTAGATCAACTGGCTTTACCCCTTCACTGTGCACACAAAGAGACTGAAAGCCAAAGATGTGAAGTGGTTTGCACAGTATGATACAGCCTGTAATGGCAAAGGTGGGTGGAGAATGCAAGTTTCCTGGATCTTTGGCCCCAGGGAATTTGGGGATTCAGCAGGCTTTAAAATAAACATTACATTTGGGGATACATCAGATGAGCACCCATGGGTTGTACACTTTGGGAATTTGTAAAAGCATAAGAGGCAGTGAAATGTATGCAAATTTGTCACAAACTTATTTAAAGCAACTTGTTGGAAGCTTACAAACCAAAATGTTAACAGAAACTATAGATAGTTGAGCTACTGATGACTTTTTTCCTTTTCACAGTTATAATTATACTTTCATCTAATATATCTGTTTCATAGAACTATTAAGTCCTCTTATTATGCTTTTTATGGCACTCCCATGAAAAAGCACTGCCCCAAGATTCCTATATCAGATCAATGGGAAAACAACACAAAACTAAGACGAGAACTTTTGCCCAAATTAATTTTACTATAGAGAAGTATAAGTCCAATTACCCATTGCCGTAAGTTTTGTCTGTGACTCAGTTTAGAGAAACAGCATGTATTGGCTCATTTTGTGAGCAAAGGAAATATCTCAAAAACAAAATCATCTTGTTTTAGCTCTGTGGTACTTTTCCAGCAGTAAAGCATGAGCTAAGGTTCAGTGGCTTGCTCTGATCCTTAATATCCCCTGATGTCTCCCATGGGCTATCCTAAAGAACTTTCCAGAACCTTTCTTGGTTCATTGACATCAACAGTGCAGACAAATGTGGAAGCAACTGTGGACAGTGACTTCTTTCACACAAGGGCCCCTCCCCGCTAAGGCAAATTTTCCCAGCCTCCAAATCATGAATTACAGGGAGGGGTGATATGGGTGGTGTTGATGGTGAACCTTTCCTACTGGCTTCTTTGCATGCCAAGTAGCAGGATCCATTGCCCTCCTCATCCTGGACAGCATGAGGCAGTTCCCAAGCACTCTTCATTCTTTGCAGGGAAAAATGTGCATAGGGGCTGAAGCGTGTTATGTGTAGCCCAATGAATATATCACCTGCAAAGCAAGATGGATAGTCCACAGCAGGTCTGCCCTTCCAAGATGTTAACCAAGAAAAAAACCTTGCTTATGACACTCTAGTCTTAGTGCATATACAGTGCCAAGGCCATGCTGAGTTGTCTGATAAATAGTTTGACAGTGGGTAATTCCATTCAGACCCTCCCCTAGTGATCGGCTAGGTTGCCTGTCAGGAACTAATTTTGCTACTGATTGGGGATCCCTACAGTGGACTACTTGCAGGAATGGCATGAACTAAGCAATTGTGTGCTGCCCCAGTGTTATGGAAGTTTATAAAAACTTAGAAGACCCAAAGGAAACCACAGGTTTGTGTATGGAGCCTGGTGTAGATCCAGCCACCACTCTGAATCTCAGCACATCTTCATTGACAGGAAGCTCAGGATGTATGTGTAGCTGACTGAGCAGAGGGCTTTCCTAGTCCAGCAGCCATGCACCGTGCATTTATGGACACCCAGCCTTGTAGGGCTGTGTGAACTGCATCCTTGTAACATCATTGTATTCTTTCAATAAATAGCCTTCTGAGTTGAATGGGAGTCAGTTTGTCTTTTTCAATTTTCAGAACTTGGCTAACATTAAAGAATGGTGCATCAAGAAGGAGTGATTAACTGCTAAACTCTTCACAGCCGGGTGAGTTAACAATAGCTACCATTTATTGAATGCTTACTACTTGAAAGACCTTGTGTTGAATGTTTGGAGTCCACCATTTCATTTAATCCTTACAATTCCTGGTTTGAGGTGCTGTGGTAGCTCTTGTCTTCATCTGCCCAGTGTTCCCCCACTCTTGCTCTTGTAACAATCCCTGCTGTACTGATCACAGGGACACAAGTCAGGATGTCTCCAGGGCTCAGTGCTGTTTCTGGGGGCAGGCATGTGACCTAGTTCAGCCAGTCAGAGTCCTTTGCCAGAATTTTATCAAAGTAGAGCTGGCAGGGAAATTTTTCTTTAGTTGGGGGTTACTAGACTGCAAAGGTGAAGGCCTAGCACTTCCTGCAGCTTAATTTCTGACCAGAGATGGGAAGTCTATTGGTGAAGAGGATGTGGCTGACATGATGGTATTCTCGTTTCTATTCCCTGGGGTCCTTAGACCTGGCTCAATTTCTTTTCTTTTTCTTTCTTTTTTTTTTTTTTTTTTTCCTTAAAAGATGACCAGTAAGGGGATCTTAACCCTTGACTTGGTGTTGTCAGCACCATGCTCTCCCAAGTGAGCTAACTGTAGCAGTGCGCCACCGGGCTGGCCTTTCCACGAACTTTTTGAAGAACCCTTGTGTATCATTTACATTTGTTCATCTGTAGATGAAAACTGGTATCATATTAAAATGAAAAAAAAAAACTTTTAAATGTTTTCCATGTTGCTACATAGGCTCTTGATCTGTTTAACAAGTCTGTTACTGTTGAGACAGTGTTTGGATTGTTTGGGTACTGGTTTTTATATTAATAACATCGAATACTTCTACCTTTTTTAGCACCCCACCTTTTTTTTCCTATTGAATTTTTTTTCTTCAAATATCCAGAATGAAATAACAATAAATTATCCAAAATGGGATTACTGGGTCAGCATGTTTAGGGTAATATAACTAGCTGGTGTAAGACTCACACAAGAATAAACTTGATACAACAATGCAGGAATAATAGTCTCACATTGCAAAAGGGAGCCAGAAGAAAACCAGTCCCCCACTCCTGCTTCCTGATGCCTGGTGTCTCTCACTCTTGCCTCCTGATGTCTGAGGAATGCCCCAGGGTAGGCATATCTGTGGGAGCATCTAGCACACTTCTGTAGAAGATAAGAAAATTTTCTGCACTTGTTAGGCACATTGATGGTGGTGACGCTCAGTTCTTTATAGCTGCAATGGGCTTTTATAAATACAGTAGTCCCCCCTTATCTGCTGGGGTGACATTCCAAGACTCTCAGTGGATTCCTGAAACCTCGGATAGTACCAAACCGTATATACACTATGTGAATTTCTTTTTCCTTCTTCACAATTTCGCAGACAAGATTCATTCTTACTGTAGATCTTAGCAACTTTAGCATACGAGTTTTTTTCTTAAATTAAGAACGTTAACCTTTTCACATAAAGGAAGCACTTTACAGCTTCTTTGGCATATCTGCATTGCCGGCGTCACTACTCTTGTGCTTTGGGGCCATTATGAAGTAAAATAAGGGTGACTTGAATACAAGCACCGCAATACTGCAACAGTCAAATGTGATCACCAAGATGGCTACTAAGTGATGAATGGTTGGGGAGCTTCTACAGTGTGAATCCAAGGTAGGAAGAAGCCAGGCTGCCTGAGATTTCATCACACTGCTCAAAATGACACTCAATCAAAAACCTATGAATTGTTTATTTCTGGAATTTTCCATTTAATATTTTCGGACCACAGTTGACAGTAGGTAACAAACTGAAACTGAGGATAAGGGGTGACTACTGTACTAAGCTGGTTAATTCCTACTCATCTGTTACATTACAAATGTCACTTCAGGAGAGGTTTTGCTGACTCTCCTACTTTAGATTGGTCTCCCTCTTTTAAATTTTCATAGGTTACTGTTAATTTCCTTCATGTTACTACAATTTGTATTTGTGATTCTTTGGTTTTCTTTTTCTCAGACTAGGTTGTGAGTTCCAGGAAGGCAGGGTCCACATCTATTTTCCTAACTCTTTTTGTTCCCCTGCTTATCACAATGCCAGGCCTATAGTAGGTACTTAATATAGTCTTGTTAAGTGAGCAATTGAGTGGAGATTTCTTAATAGACAAAGAAGACTGGCTCAGAAATGAAAAGGTGCTCAATCTTGAAATCAGAATTTTGCAGAATCACACATTGTAGTACTATTTTCTACCAATTAGGCTGGCAAAAATTTGGAAATCTGGCAGGGGGATAATGGACTTTCATACACTGCTGGTGAGGGGGGTATATTGGTATAATCATTTGGGGAAATAAATTGACAATATCCAGTAAAATTGCAGCTAAGCAATTGAGCTCAGCATTTCCATTTGTAGGTAGATATATACCGTGGACTAGAAATTTTCCTGTGTGAGCACAAGGAGACATGCACAAGGATGGTCATTACAGCTATGTTTGAAAGAGCGAAAATATGGACAGAGAACTACAAGTGAATAGGTTAACAAACTGTGAAGTATTCGTATAATTTAATACAATATAGTATTTAAATGAAGGAACCAGAGCATCTGGCAAAAACAAAAGCAAAAAAATGTAGCTCTACCTATTCCACTCCTGTACCCAAGCAGCTTAATGTGGCTGGAGAAAAACAACCATGATGACTAGTCCCAATTTCCTTTCTGCTAACCTCCAGCATTTTTTTCCCCTAGTCCAGTCATTAGCCCACTCTTCTAAGGTGCTATTTTCTCTCTTCTCAAACCTTTAGCACTTTGCCCCACTTTGCCTCACTCAGTTGGTGACCTTGTTTCATTGTTAATTGGAAAAATAAAAGCAACCAGAAGGTAACTCCTCACCTATGTGTTTCTTGTCCTTTCACTCTTCCTTCCTGTTGCTATGGTTGACACTGTTATCTAAGACCAATTCCTTCTCTGGTGTATTAGATCCCATCTTTATTTTTTAAAAGATGACCAGTAAGGGGATCTTAACCCTTCACTTGGGGTTGTCAGAACCACGCTGTCCCAAATGAGCTAACCAGCCATCCCTATATAGGGATCCGAACCCGTGACCTTGGTGTTATCAGCACCACACTCTCCCAAGTGAGCCAAGGGCTGGCTCTAGATCCCATCTTTAAACTAGGACGTTATTCCTACAATTGATCTCTCTCCTGCATCTTTTTTTGTTTTTCCTTATCTACTGCATTTTCCCCATCAGCATAATAACATATAATTTTTCTCTTCTACAATATGTATATTTTATACCCCCCTCCACCACCTACCTACCACTCCATTTCTTGCTTCACCTCATAGCTAGATTCCTCCTTAGAGCTGTGGAACACTAATTTGTGCCCAGTTCCTTTTCTTCTGTTCTGTCTTGCACCCACTCCAATCAGGTCTTTGTTTCTGCTCTTGTCGATGGACTCCACGTGGCTAAGTCCAGTGGTTGTTTTTCAGTCCTTTTACTTGACTTTTCAATAATAGTTGATACAGTCGATCACTTCCTCACCCTTGAAACTTTTTTTTCACTCTGTTTCCTGGTTACACTTACCTGGATTTCCTTACCCTTTATTGACAGCTATTTCTCCCAAATTCTTTATCTTTCCTTGCTCTAGACATGGGCATTACTGTAGGGCTCAGTCTTTGCACCTTTTTCTTTTTCTACAGTCACCCTGTTGGACTCTCATCCTGCCTCATGGCTTTAAATATCTGTTGACAGCTTCAAAATGTGTATCTCCAGCCCAGGATTCATACTCATATAAGCAACTACCTATTCAACATCTCCACTTGGATGTTTAACAGATGTCTCATTTAATGCTTTATGTCCAAAGATGAACTCATGCTCTCCCCCTCCCAGCCCTATCATAAGCATGTTCCTTCCTCAGTCTTCTTATTTGATAAAAGGCAACCCATCCTGCTTGTTGCTGAGGCCCCACGTTGGGGAACCACTTTTGACTGCTTTTTCTCATACCCCATATCCAAGCTCCAATAAGTCCTGTCTGCTAACTTTCAGGATATAAGAGGATGACCATTTCTTTTTGCTTCTGCTGCTACCACCCTAGCCCACGTCACCAGCACCATCTCTGGCCCACATTTTTTTAATAGCCCCCTAATTGATTTCCCTCCTTTCAGCCTTGCCTTCCTATGTTTGTAGTTCAGCAGCCAAAGTTATCTAATAGCTCTCCATTTCACTCAATAAAAGCTAATGTAAAGCCTCATCTAGTACTGGCACCACCTGACACCTCACATTATCTGTCACCACTCCTCTTCCTTCCTGATGGCTCTGCTCCAAGCCCACTGGCCTCCCTCAGTTACTTAAACTCACCCATCATGCCTCCACATCAGAGCCTTTACATTTGCTCTTCCCTATTCCCTTCAGATTTTTGCTCAACTATTTTCTTACCAAAGAGCCCCTCCTTGATTATCCTATCAAGACAGCAGACTCTCCCTCCATGGCACAGCCCAGGCCCCTTCCCAGCTTTATTTTTTCCATAATACCTACCACCACCCGACGTGATAAATATTTTTCCTATTATATGTCCTTCTCTAGAAGGTAAGCTCCATGGGAGGAGTGATTTGGCAGGGTGAGGGTGGGGGTGTAGCAAATTTATTGAAGCATAACATACACACAGAAAAGTACACAAATAGGGCTGGCCAGTTAGCACAGTGGGTTAGAGTGCAGTGTTATAACACCAAGAACAAGGGTCCGGATCTCTGCACCAGCCAGCTATAGTAAATAAATAAATGTAATTAAAAGTACAAAACTAAAGTGCACAGGTAGCAAATGAGCAGCTTGATGATTGAGGGCAGCAAATTTTGTATCTTCTGTTTAGTGTTTTGTCCCCAGACAGGGAATGTTTATATATTTAATGAATGTTTCTGAACTGAATTTACATGTGTTAGCAAGATTGAAAACAGCT